GCCGCCAATCGAGGGGGGGTCCCCGCTAACTTCCAGCCTAGCCAGTGCTACCTCAACAACCAGACGGACAACCAGCGCCACCCGCCGGCCGTTGTAGAAGGTACGGCAGGGATCGATTGACCCGCCAGTTGAATTGCTCAAGGAGCGTGCTCGCAAAGCGGAAGCGGCTAGGAAATAACGTCAATCCAAATAATGATGGCGAGGACGGCAGTCGAGGGGAGAGAGGGGGGCAGCACTTCCCTGAGTTCTATCGTCAAGTTGGAGAAATAGCGGCGTCCCATTGCCAAAAGTCATGCCTTCAAAATAAAAGCGCGCTTTGACCACACTTTTGTTTGGCCAGATGTTGGTCTGTGGAGCAGCCGCACTCAATTCTGTGCTTCGTGCGGTGTGACTGCCGAGTATGCCGCCCCGCCATGTGGCTTCAGGAAGTGTGCCCAAACTCTTTTTGTACTATGTACTTTTGTTTTGAAGGTCTGACTTTCGACAGGAGGTTACACAGAGTTGCCGTCAGTAAAAATAATGACTTCATCCCCGCGACCCAATGTAAGAAACGGGTACCTCAATCGGACCAATAAACGGACAAAAACGAGGTTCCACTCTTGAGTCGTCTGTTGCGGGCGGGGGTCTGGAAAGTAACCCCCACTGGCAGATGCGAGATTACCGCACGGCTGACTTTCCGCCGCTCGGTGAAAAAGTGGTGACGCTCTTGCGGCTTGCTGGTGCGCAGAGCCGGTGGTGGTGGAGGTGATGTTCAGGAACCCTCTGAAGGTTCCCCTGGCACTCTCCCGCCTCTCGCTGCTCTGGAAGTTCGCGCACGACGGCCACGGCACCGACGGCGGGGAGGATGCCGGAGAAGAACTCGTCAACAACGGGGACGCCTCGGAGCAGGAGGTGGGCATGCCTTTATCCTCACGCGACGCCTTTTCCAGGACAAGATGTTTGTTTCGTGTCTATTTGCGTGTTGGGCTGCATCTTTGTGTTTTTCTGCCTTGTTTGTTTCTTCCTGTGTATGTACTTGACTGTGCTAGTTTGACTCCTTGTATTTGCTTGTTTCCTCTTTTTGTTTGTATTTTTGTATGCGCGTAGTATGTGTTGCTTTTATGCCTTTGCCTACGTTTGTTTTTGTGTTTCTGTGGAGGTGTTTTTTTGTTTTGTTTGTACTATATTTTAGTTTTCTGGTTGGTTAGGCGCATTTATACCAGTTCGTGTGATGGACTGTTTGGCCGCGTTTGCCTTTCCAGACGACGCAGAGAGACGACCTGGTCACCACCGAGACCATCCTGGACTTTCACTTGGCTCCTGAGGAAACCAAAACGGTGAGTGGACGGACGCCACCCGCTTTGCAGCATTAGTATCTCGGACAAAATCTTGAACGGTGATTTTCATTGTTCGCATCTTGAAGATGACGGTCTTGCGTTCAAAACACCAGATATCTTCAGTCGCGTCATCTGTAGCATTTGTGTACGAAACATCTTGAAGATAGCAATCACTGTTAGCTCCTCGAACATGCGACTCTTGCCGAACTCCAGCATATCACATGGTTTGCGACGTCTGACCTCAGGCTCGGCTCAGGCTTCTGCCGCACCGGACGGGCTGCCTGAGTATCACGGGCGTGGTCTACGACCTGGCCGCCGCGTCCTCGCCGGAGACGCCCGACGACGACGGTAACCCGAGCCGGCCCGGCCTAACCCTTGCCCTCCGTCAGTTACCTGACGCCCGGCGCGCCGCTCCTCTCGCAGGGCTGCAGAAGGCCGAGCCCGTGGTCGTCAGTGGGAAACAGGACCTGAAGATTCGAGGCCCGCGACTCAATCACACCAAAGAGGACAAAATGTTTGTGCGCTACGGACCCGACCGGCGCTTAGAGCCCATCATCACGCCGCCTATGCCCCTTATGGAGGTAATTTGTCTGCACGCGTGGACAATAAAAAGGACTGGTCGCCAGCCACCGTGACGTGTCCCGCCTTTTGTGGGCGTCAGGTGTTCTTCCTGCAGTTCCCGACGGCCCTGCTGTGCGGCGAGATCCGTAAAGCGTACGTGGAGTTCTGCAACGTGAGCGACGTGTCCCTATGCGGCCTCCGCGTGGCGTCCACTCACCCCGACTTCTTCACCTTTGGGAGCCCGTCGGCCGGCACGCCGCTCAGCCCCGCCTCGGCCGAGAACTGCTCGGCCTACAAAACCCTGGCGGCGGCGCCCGGGTCCGCGGCGGCCCGTGAGACGCTGGTGTCGGCCGATGACTTCGGGCCTGCGTCGGACGTGGTGGACATCCCCGTCAGCGGCGCCCTGCAGCCGGGACAGTCCGCGCAGCTTCCCCTCTGGCTGCGAGGACCTGACCAGGAAGGAGTCCACGAGATCAACTTCCTCTTCTACTATGAAAGCCCCGAGAAAGGAACCAAGATCAGGTAGAGACCGCACGTTGGCGTTTGCACCCGGCACCTCGGTTGATAATTGACATTCATCTGTGGACTGTCTGCCTCCACACTTTGTCACCTCTCGCTGACTGCACTTGAATTATTCGAGTCGCATCGCGACCTCCCTTTCCTTTTGTTCTGGCATTCCCCACGGCTCCATCCTTGGTCCCATTCTGTCCTTAACTCATTGACCCCGGTGGACGTTTGGTCGTCAACTGTTTTCTGCCAAGTGTGACTTTCAACACGTCGGCGTGGAAGAAGGTCTCATTGGGCCCTTGTCTGTCAAATTCAGGTTTACAAACCACAGAGCTGACGAACAGGGGCCAGTAAATGGCGAATAAACTCTACAAAATGCAACTAGAATTCGTCTGGTCCAGTCCAATCTCGTGAGGCCTAAATTGTTCACCTCATAACTCTGTCCGTGCGCACTCGATTCAATTCTTTGCGCCCTCCCCCTTGCGTTTTTTTCCCCAAAGGCTCTATCCTTGGTCTACTTTTGAAACATTGACCTCTTTTTTTTGTTTGTTTCTTATTTGGTTGTCTTTGGCCTGTATTATTTCTTCAGTCAAAAGTGGTAGTAGTGGTGGTGGTGGTGATGATGATGATGATGAGTGCACGGCGCTCTTTCTCCTCAGCCACCGGGTCGTTCGCCACTCGGTGTTCATCTGCGCCAGTCGCTCGCTCAGCGTTCAGGCTTCAGCCCGTGCCAGCACCACACCACCTCAGCGAGGACCTGATCAGGATGGCGGCGGCACCCTGGTCTTCATCGACGTGGAGAACATCAATACGGTGAGCGTCCCGGCCCGCGGCGCTCGGGCTTGGCTCACCCCGCGATCCCGCCGCTCACATCCGGGTTTCTTTGGCCTCTCAGAGCGAAGCTGGCGTGCGCGAGTTCCACATTGTCCAAGTGTCCAGCGGCAGCCGGAACTGGAGCCTCAGCAAGTGCGTCAACCCGGCCAAGGAGAAAGGTAGGAAGTGGCGGCTGGCGCCCGCGCGCTCGTCACAACGCCGACTGGCTAATGTTGAGCAGACAGCTGCTAACTCGAAACCAGGGTCAGCAAAACTCAGGTCCCCGAGGCCCCCCATCCTCCCGTGTTTTACACGTTTCCCTCGTCCAACACGCCCGATTCAAATGACGAGCTGACCATCTCAACGCTCATTCACTGACGCCCGCCTCAGCAGCAGGCCAGGCCCCGCCTTCGACAGCCACACGCAAGTCAGTCACGGTGTGGAAAGTGAGAATGACGACTCCAAGTGGATATTACTCATCATAATAATACCTGCACCTCGCTCGGGTTCACATTTTGATGTTGGATACTCGAAAACCACATTTGGTTTGGCTAATTGGTAGAATAAGCCATTTGAAAAAAAGTGTCGGGGTGCTGCTGTGTGCGCGCACGCGCGCTCTGATATCACTTCCTGGTTTATGTGCACATTGATATCCTGTACATTTCTACACGTAGTTCTAAACATTGGCTTAGGTTTAAATGCTTGTTAGCATACATGTTAAGGTTTGGGTTGAATGCAATTCTCTGGTAGATTTGGTCAACATGTTGGGCAGCTTTGTGTATTCTTAACTTTTTCACCCTTCAGACTGCAAAGTGAGCAGCAGAGAACGAGCCAAGCTTTGTTTCAGAGCCACGCCGTGCAAACCTCACCAAGGTGCGTCGCCGCCGCCACCATGCGCGAGACCGACAACACGCTTGGGTCATTTGACTGTTTCTTATGTTTGTGTCTGAAGCCACCTCGGAGGACGCCGACATGTTCACTTTTGCGGACGTTCACCTGGGCGGCGAGCGGGTATGCATGCCGACTTTGGTGCACGTACACGCAACTCCGTTTAGCCTGCCGGCGTAGGGTCCACACTTGCCCACGAAGTTGGCCGCCTGGCCCGTCAATCCAGATGGAATGCAAAACGTCATTTGAACGCTAAACGCTGTTGCAGATCGTCAGTTCGGCCACGCCATGCGGCGACTTTTTCTTCCGCTGCCGTCGGACATCCGAGTCTCGGCGAGCCGACGCCTGCCCCTCTGGGCCGAGGACGCCGTCGGGCGCCAGGAACCCCAGCCCGGACGCGAGCAAGGACCTGCTCCGCGCGGTCGACGAGTGCGACCGGCTGGACCTCGACATCATCGTCATCTGGAAGGTCAACTCATCTGTGCTTGTGTGCGCGCGCGTGTCTGTTAATGTGTGCGCTTGTACGAATGAACATGTTGTTCGTGTTTGTTTGTCATCTTTTTTTGTTGTTGATGTCGAGTGTGTGCGTGCAGGCGTACGTGGTGGAGGACAACAAGCAGCTGATCCTGGAAGGTCAACTCCACGTGGCGCTGCAGGCTGTGGGGAAGGAAGCCACTTCGCTCGCGCCAAAACAGGTGACATCTTTTGATGACTCCCCCCCCCCCCCCTCCTCTCTCTTCATACATTCCT